GTTGGTAGTAGTTAGTTAATAATTTTTTATAGTTAAAGAGTTGCATCATGGTGCTGTTGAGCTATTTTTATACAATCTAAAAATTCCTCGTAATTAGATGGGCACACGACTTATCATCTAAACTATGGTGTGTTTGAGAATGAAAGGAGGGAACGTAATATTTCGATTGAGACAATACACGTCAATCTAGATTGTTGCAGGCAACATGGGAAGTGTGATCACCCTTACGTATAACCAAATTTAAGCATTCCCCTTGTGTCAACTTGCTATTCATTGATACTTATTAAGACTGTAAAGGTCTAAATCTAGCTAAACCCTTGTAAGACTTTTTTTTTTTTTTTTACCAAATATGTCAGTGCCTTTCCTATGCATAAAAGCACTGTGTATTGACTTGCTACCAGAATCTGCTGACCATTAGTTGAACTTGAAAATTCCTTCAAGTAAGAGACTGAAAACTCTGCCTAACAGGTATTAGATACCTATTAAGTGGTTGCTTTAGGACAAGAATCAACCTTTTCCCTCACTCATTTACTGAGCTTTCATTATTTTATCCTTTGCTTCTGCATGGTTTACTCCTCGTTCATCACACATTAAACACCTATTCTGTCAGCAGCTGTACTAAGTGTATATACAGTAAACCATCTCCTTTATCCTTAATTGAAGGGAAGACAGGTTGACCAACAAATAGGTTGATGAAAAATGTCTTAAAAGAGATGCAGGCAAGGTACATTGGAAGAGCAGAGAACGGAGTACGTTATTTTGCCTGGGAGAGCAAGGAAGTTGAACCAGGTGATGTTGAATCCAAGTTCTACAGGATGAGTACTTCTAGTTAGATCAGGAAGTAGAGAGACTGTAGGTAGAACAGAGGGATATGAGCCAACTTCGTAGCAGGGAAACTAGAAATTTAGGATGACTACAACAGTGATAAAGCTCTGGTGGTGCAGTGGTCAAGGCATTTGGCCCTTAACCAAAAGGCCTGTGGAATGAAGGTGAGGCAGTCTGCTTCTGTAAAGATTTACAATTTTGGAAACCTATAATAGGGGTTGCTGTGAGTCAGAATTGACTGTGGCAGTGGTTTTTTTTTGTTTTTTTTTTTGACAACCGTGATAGAGTCAACAGATGCTTTTAGAAAGACTGCAACTGGTAAGGAATTTATACTTTGTCTTATAAACATAGGCAGTCAGTAAAGATAATCATGTTTGCAGTTTTAAAAGATCACTTTCATAATCAAATAGAGGTATTAAATGATAATGAGCCTTAAGATCAATTGAGGTTTGGTAACACTCTAGTTGAAAAATGAGGGTACTAATCAAGGCAGCAGAAAAAAATACACATTTAGAAGGTAGAATCAGTAAGATTTGGTGATAAGATGTGCAGTGTTAGAGAGAAAAAACGTAGAAAAGCTCCTTGGTTTTGAAAAGATACTTTATTTGAATCCCCATCCCGTTTCCAGATTCGTGGTGCCCTTAATGCAATCAGAAGCTTGATTCCTGCCACTTCCGAAGGGAAGAAGCCCAAAGCTGTTGTTACTCACAGCAGTGGAAACCATGGCCAGGCTCTCACCTATGCTGCCAAATTAGAAGGTACTTGATTAATTTCTAAGGGTACTAAAAAGAGGCAGTTGTGGGAAATAAGCTTCCAGAAGCCCTGATTACAAGCAAACTAAACAGAAGCTTCTGTCCTAAGATCTTTGACTTACTCTAAGCGTATTTTCTCCTCCCAGGGATTCCTGCTTATATTGTGGTGCCCCGAACAGCTCCCAACTGTAAAAAAAAGGCAATACAGGCCTATGGAGCCTCCATAGTGTACAGTGAACAGAGTGATGCGGTAAGGAGACAACAATCAGTATGACCTTAATAGCTTTCATTTGACCAACATCTTTTCGTACCTTACTGGAGTGCCTTACTTTCTTCTTCATCTCTAAATGTTAGCATGTTTAGTCTTTACACTTATTCATGCTATCATTAGTCTCCTGGTTTAAAATACCAGCAGCATAGTGCCTAAGGCATCTGATTGCTAACCAGAAGGCTGGTGGTTCAAACCCAACAGCTACTCCTCAGAAGGACGGTTGGGCAATCTACTTTAATAGTGATACAGCCTCGGAAACCCAAGGAGCGGTCACCAGGAGTCGCATCCAACTCAACAGCAGTTGAGTTTTTAATGCTTTAATAACTCCCAAATTTCTGCCGTGACCTCTCCTTTTAACTCCAGACTTCATATATTCAGCTGCTACCAACATTCTCATTTGGTTATCTAATACACATCCTAAATTTACTGTCTAAAACGAAACTCCTAGTGTACCTGCTCTTCTTTTGTCTTCTTCATCCCAGTAAATGGCTACTTTTTTCCTTCTAGTTGCTCAAGTTAAAAAACCTTGGAGTCATTTTTGGTAATTCTCATAGTTAACATTCAAATGTTAGTCCTACTTTTGCAACATTAATCCTCTTATTTCTCACTACCTCTACCATTATCATCCTTACTTAACATTTCTCTCCTAGATTATTTTAGTGGTCTAACTAGTCTCCCTGGTTTTACCCTTGCTGTATTTGTCTATTTTCAAAAGACCAACCAGAGCAGTCCATTTAGTAAAACAGAATTTATCTTGTCAGGTCAGAATCCTGCAATGGTATGTCAGACACTGAAAGCCAAAGTTCTTAAAATCGACAAAGGCCTAGATGAAGTGGCCTGTTTCCATCTGGCTTCTTCCTCTACTACCTCCTCACACACACACCCCTAGCACACTCACAAGGCCAAGCATTCCTACTTTGTACCTTCTGCATTTGCTATTACCCTCTTCCTAGAACATACTTTTGGAGATCCATAGGACTTGTCCAAATCTGTTAAAATGTTAGTTTACCAGAGGCTTTTTATGGCCCCCTTATATAAATTCTTTTATTTTTTCACCATACCACTTATCTGGCATAACATGTATTTATTTGTAGCCCAAGTCTCCTAACTCCATACCATGTTATTAGACTATAACCCCCTTGAGGACAGGAAGTATTTTGTTCACTGCTGTATCCCCAATACCTAAACAAATTCTGAAAAATAGTAGCAAAGGGTTAAATGACAGAATTTAACTTTTGGATTCTAGCAAATGCAGATCAAGTTAGCTAAATTAATGTTTTTTTTAGTCTAGAGAAAATGTTACAAAAAGAATTATGGAAGAAACAGAAGGCATCATGATACATCCCAACCAGGAGCCTGCAGTGATAGCTGGGCAAGGGACAATTGCCCTGGAAGTGATGAACCAGGTAAAACAGCCCAGTTAACCCCTCTAATTGAGATACACCAGAGTATCTGATGTTTGGCTTTAGGGCTGATTATATGTATATATAAAACTGCTTATTAATAGGCCTAGTTATATTTCATGTTCTTTTTGATAAAGGTTCCCTTGGTGGATGCAGTAGTGGTACCTGTAGGGGGAGGAGGAATGATTGCTGGAATAGCAGTTACAGTTAAGGTGAGAAAACAATCAATTGAAGACTCCCCACTTAAGACATATATGATTTATTTTACATTATAATACATTGTGGATAGTTGCTCAGCATTCCCTTCAAAAGGCCATTCTTTCTCATCATCTCCTTGGCATTTGAGATTGAGGCCCTTCTCTGCCTTAGCATCCTCTTAATCCGTTTCAGCTTTACAGCACAAAAGCTGTTACAATGAATGCTACTCTTGCAGTTCTTTTCCCAAATCTCCTCTTGCCAACCTACTATCCAAACCAGGGGCTACTCTTTTTCCAAACTACCAGTGGAATCAAATGTGATACGGGCATCTGAAGGCCAATATTAAACTATTTACAAAGTGCCTTAAGGTTATATTTTCATTACATCAAAGGAAAGGCTTGTACTTGAGCTGAAATGTGGTTGCCCTATTGCCTATTTTATGAATGCAGGCAATGCTAGTTGTAAAGTGTCTAATATTACTCTTCCCAGGCTCTGAGACCTAGTGTGAAAGTATATGCTGCTGAACCCCTGAATGCAGATGACTGCTACCAGTCCAAATTGAAAGGGGAACTGTCCCCCAATCCTTATCCTCCAGAAACCATAGCAGATGGTGTCAAATCCAGCATTGGCTTAAACACCTGGCCTATTATAAGAGACCTTGTGGATGATGTCTTCACTGTCACAGAGGATGAAATTAAGGTGAGGCTCCAACAGGAAGGAAGCAACAAAATTAATTTCTTAGGTAAAAGAGCCTTCTCCAGTTAGAAGTAACAACCAACCTATTGGGAACTTACGTAGGTGACTTCATGACTGTGTGTGTGTGTGTGTGTGTGTGTTTACCCTAGATGTAGTAAGACAACCCTCTCAAAAGCAGAATTGAGATGAAAGAAAAGCCCTGCTCTTAACTAGCAGACTCACACAACAGTAAGAAAATTCAGGCCTACATCTTCAGCTGGTCCTTATCATTGGACAAACTAGGCCCTTTCCCCTTCTCCCATTTCACTAATTCTAATTCTTACTCCTTTCTGTACCAACAGTATGCAACCCAGCTGGTGTGGGAGAGGATGAAACTACTCATTGAGCCTACAGCTGGTGTTGGAGTGGCTGCTGTACTATCTCAGCATTTTCAAACTGTTTCCCCAGAAGTAAAGAATATTTGCATTGTGCTCAGTGGTGGAAATGTAGACTTATCCTCCCTAACTTGGGTGAAGCAGGCTGAGATGCCAGCTCCTTAACAATCTGTTCCCGTTTAATTTATGCAAAAGATGGGTTTCAATGTCTAATTTCTATCTTCTCTCAGTTTTCAAAATCCCAGCTGAGAGTTGGTATTTCAGTAAGAGTTCAATACTTTTTTTGGACTTAACTACCAATAGAAAAACTTAACTGAAGTAACTGAAATACCTTGCCAAGGCCAAGAAAAGCCTTCTGTAAAAAGGGGCAGAAGACCTATAGGCTGAAGTAGAAAATGCAAACTCTGTCCAATCACAACCTGTAGGTTCTTGGTCCTAGAATGCTAACTGGCAGCAGTAATACAGAACCCCGTTGAATCTACTACTCCATGTCCACCTCTGGCATTACTGAAGAAATTTCACTTTTCACCCAAGGTACTGGTTCTGGTATGTATGGATCATAAGTCCATTTTGGGAAAACTCGTTTATAGAGGTTCATCAATACTGTGTCCTGAGATTTGAGCTTCCCATCGAAAGTGCATTTCATGTGGCCATGGGTACCTACAGAGTAAACAGAGCAAAAATTTAAAACAGTCGTCCCTTAACCCAATAGTAATTTAGCACCACTAGGAAAATCCAGATATAATGTCAAATCCCACATTCTCTTACCTAAAGGCTCCTTGATGTGTCCCCTGCGGCCCCACTTTGTTCTCAGTTCCACTGGTTTAAACCACAGCACATCCTCTAAAACGAAACACACAGAAGATCAAGATGAAATATTTACTCCCAAATTATAGACTGAGCCTTCCTTCATCCCACAAAGGTAACTAGATCCCCTCTTTGTTCACACACCTACCTCTGTTGAAGAACATATAACGCACCACTGCCATTTTAGTAAAAATTTTGAAAGGATGACCACTCAAAACAACCCTCTTGATGACCATTCTGTCTGGATTCACTGACAACAGATGGCCTGTAGCAATGAGGCTATGCATTCCTAATGGACAAAAGCAAAGCAATTATTCAGGAATCTATAAGCCAAATCCTTCATTTATTGCTCCAATGCATTTAAAACCTATGGCAAGGTTTTCTGTCCTCCCAGATCCATGAAAAAAGTCACAAATGATGACACTGCTGAGCCCGGCCCCAGAACCTGTCCTAAATACAACACTGCACAGCCTTCAACAATAAGCTAAAATTTTCAAGTAAGATAAAACCCATTTTGTCACCCCTGCCTTAGATTTGCAGTGATACTGAGAAGACATGTTGAAAACCATCATTAGCTTCTCTATACCATTTGGCTCCCAAATCTAAACAAGAAAAACCAGTGGTAATCTACTCAGGTTCTGCAAGCCTGATCCCCTCTATGAACTCAACTCACCATTTCTGTTCTGTTTGAAAAGCAGCACAGATGCAGGAGGAAAGGTGATTGGGCCATACACTGTCACCACGAGGGCCACATCAGCAGTCAGGAATCTCTGAAATTTATGCTTATCGGCTGCCAAGAGAAAGGTTAAAGAAAAAAACACACTTTCTTGAGCAGCTATACGTAATCAGAGGCCAGTCATTCAACCTGCGAAGGGCTGTATCACTGTAACTTCTAAACCTAATGCAGCTCATGTTTCTTTACCCCACTAGTTCCTCCTTTTTTCTCTTTCCTATTTCAATACAATGGAAAGAAAGAACCCAATCCAATCAGAGTTAATTTTTCAATAGAAGACAGGATCTTGGAGTTTGGAATATATTTGTTGTTGTTGTTATGTGCCGTCGAGTCGGACCCAACTCATAGCTACCCCTCCTTGGGTTTTAAGCCTTCTGGTTAGCAGTCAAGTGCCTTAGGCACTATGCTACCAGAGTTCCCTGGAATATATTTAGGGTTTGTGAAAGTTCTCAACAGCTTTAGTCTTGAGCAAGAATTGGTAAACATTTTCTGAAAAGAGCAAAATAGTAAATATATGGGCCACAGTCTCTGTTCTAACTACTCAATTCTGCCATTATAACAGAAAAGCAGCCATGGACAGTAAGTATACAAAGGAGCATAACTAGGTTCCAATAGGTTACATAAACAAGTAGTGGGGTGGATTTAGCCTAAAGGCTTAGTTTGTCAACCCCTAATCTTAGAATTATCCTGGAATTTCTATTTTTACCTTCAATGTAACCTCCTCTTTCAATACAAGAAAAACTTTTAAGGGAAAGGGAAATAAACATTTAGATAGCATGGCTGGCAAGAATAAAGATTATCCAGAGCACTCATTAATATTGCCTTCATCATCTTCCTCTTGCCACTGTTGAACAGTGAGAGTGAGATGAAAGTGTGCAGGTGATGTTCCTAAGCCCCCTAATTAGTAGTGGGTAATGTATTTTCCCACTCTGAAGCACAGGAGTGCAATCACTTTTGCCACAGATGTGTCCCTAGCCATCACTCTCCAAATTCTCATCCAGTCTCAACATCTCAGAACCCACACCTCTCTGCCTTACCCAACTGAGGCACACCCAACCTCCATGCCTTCATCCACATGCTACTAGCACATCAGATGCCAAGAGTTCCACACTCTGGCACACTCTTTTTACAAAGCTGCTGAATCCTACTGAAAACCTACTTTGGAACAAATACTTATGGCAGAGAAACCTCAGTACCACACAGAAGTTGCATCACTTGGATGCTTCAGATAGGTTCAGACATTTTGGATTAAAACATCACTGGTTCCCGAGCCAAAGTACTAAAAACATCTTTAATGCAGAGACTTAGTTTAAAGCTATGTATTCTGTACCTTCCCCCCAACTTTATTTACAGTCAGTTTCTAAAAAGACATTAAGGTAGACAAGAACCCATAACGCTTCCCCACTGCTAACCTGTAGTGTGCTGAGAGAATAATGGTGAGGCTCGGAAGCGCCTGAACCCACAGTGGAAGATCAGCTCCTCTTTGGCTTTCACAGGTTCAGTGTTTCCAGGGTGCCGGCTCACCACCATATTCAAAACTGACATCTAGGGACCAAGTAAGAAAAACACAGCTTCACAGTTGAAGAATATGGCCAAAGAGGCTAACCTGAAAGAAAGCAAACCAACTAGTAGACTCACATTCATTTTAGGAATTGTTAATGCTGATTAACAGTACAGTGTAGATGATGGAACACCAATTCATCCTTTACCTCCAACCACTGGCATTCAAGCCAAATACTGACTGATTTGCAGAGCGTTTCATGCATCCTTCCAGAGTGTAACATGATCACTCAACAACTGTCACAAGGTCACTGGCCTTCAAGTCATTCACTCGCCACACATCTCAAATCACACCCACTTAAGTCCTTTCCTCCCCAACCCTTAGCCATACCAACCAAAGGCCAGTGTTTTCATACACACCTTATCCTACATGTCTGCTGGCCAAAAAAGAAATATGCACATTAGCATAAATCATGTTTAAGGCTGCCAACTGTTACTCAAAATCTGATCTGAAAATCATACTTATCTCAGAGAAGTCTCAGAACTACATAGATTGCATCACTGAGATGCTTCAGACAGGTTCAGACATTATGAGTAAAACCATCATTGACTTCATTATTCTCTCTGATTTCTAATCCTAAAGGCAAATTTTTGCATCCAAATGAGCAAATTATCAGTCATAAACAAAATTGTAGACAACGTCTGCCAGAACTGGTTGAAAAGTTCTAATCCCCATTTTCCCACAAGACACTATTTCACCTTCTGTTCATGAGGTAGTAAAGAAAATGCAACCAAGGGTGCTCCTTGCCTGAAGTACTCAACCACTGATATAGGGACTTCAGAGACATGAAGTGTGACATACCAGCCAACCTGCCAGAAGAAAGCACAGAACAATCACACGGTCTTTAAGGTTCCAACAATGGTGAAGCAAATGGTTTCTCCCAATGTGTTAAAAAGACTATCCTAAAGCCAGGGGAACTCTAGTAGCATAGTGTCTAAGCCACTTGACTGGTAACCAGAAGGCTGGCGATTCAAACCCATCAGTCACTCCTCAGAAGGAAGGTTGGGCAATCTACTTTTGTAGTGACACCACCTCAGAAACCCAAGGAGGGTTGAGTCAGGTCTAACTTGTGGCACATACCACCACCACAACATCCTAAAGCCAACCTTTTCCCTTTAAGAGTGGCTTTCATTTACTATCTCTCCTATCTCTTTGCTCCCAATAGCACTCTCATCAGTGACTCAGTGGCTCCCCTAATACAGCTATGGCAGCACAAAACAAATAAAGTACAAATTCTCATGCCAATAGGACTAAATTAGAGGGCACACTGGCAAAGGAATGCCAACTATAGGGATGGACAAAGGAAGGCAGATACCTCAGCTCCTTCAACCTCTTTTTCCTCAGTCTCTTTAAAGATGCGTTTTCTAGTATTAGTAAAGTTCTGAAACTGAAAGATCCGGGCATAATCTTGAGGAAGGTTTTCCTTAGGATCCCATGGAGATGTTCGGAAGCTCTTAAGGCCTCTGTATTTCTGAAATCTAGAACATAGATTTTAAATAAATTAACAAGTCAGATTTACATGGTGCTATTTAACTCTTTTAACTCAATCACTTCTAAAATGGCTAAGGCTCTCTAGCTTAAAAGAATTCCAGTCACCATCTCTCAAAATAACCTAACAGCCTAAACCAAGACCACATTTTAAAACAGCCTTTAACATTTCAGAACCAAACCCAAGATTCTCACTAACAAAGGATAAAGTAGTTACAGTGGCTCCCTAGTGCCTCCCAGGGAGTGGCTCTTTAACCTGCCAAATAAGAAACTTGATAAAAGCCCTACCTCTCTAATATCCAACTTAACTCTGGCTTTGGTCAGACTCATCTCCGGAGCAGACATGAACATTTTACATCTTCATGCTTTTGCTCTTGCTGTTTACCAACTCCCCTACTTGCCCCGGGGGTTATACTTCAATCAAGTATTAGTTCTTATAGGAAGCATTTGCTAATGAACCTTAGTATTTCTCCTTCATTGGAAGTCCTGTAACATTACTAGTCTGAACCACATGATCTGGAACTTGATTATATACTGTTGTTTCTTATGTGTATGTTTTGCCTTCCCATTTAGAATGTTAGCCCTTCAGGGACAGGGACCATGTGTTTATTTTCTTTTGCATCATACCGAAGTAGTTGTGAACCACATTAAGTTTTAAATAAAAATATACTGATTGGACTTGGACCCACTGACTAACCGAATTCTAGCAGCCACATCGCGGGGGGTGTCAACTTCATCTGGAAACATCTCTTCTAGTCTTTCTTGTTTATATTTCTCGAACATTTTTTCCTCAGCCTCTTCATCCACTTTCTCGTCATACAGATCATCACGCACAGACTCTCCTATAGTCACAGTTTCACATTCCTCCTCCTCTTCTTCACTCCTTTCGTTCTGTACAATAAAAGACTGCAGTTATTTTCAAAGAAATCCATAACTGCCTCTACCCTAAAGGCTTTAAGCTGAGGATAAAATACCTTTACTGAATACCTAGTCTCAACCAGGAGCTCTGGCAGTACAGTGGCTAAGGCATTCGGCTGTTAACCAAGAGGTCTGTGGTTCAAATCCACCAGCCACTGTGGAACAAAGATGAGGCAGTCTGCTTCCACATAGATTTATAGCCTTAGAAACCCCATGGGGCAGTTCTACTCTGCCCTATAGAGTCACAATGAGTCAGTATCAACTCAATGCAGTGAGTTTAGTCTCAACCAATGCCAATTCTCACAGAGATTATAAAACAAAAAGTGAAAGTTTCATTCTTAAGCAACTACAAAGTCATTCTTAAGAAACTAACTGCCCTCCAACAACACCTCCCCACACACCTTCCAAGGGACTTTGCCTTGCATTTGGGGTTGTACACAGAGCGGCCCAAGGGCCCATTTCCTCACCTGTGATTCCTCTTCCATAAAATCCTCCGGCTCTGTATCATTGTATTCATCTTCTTCGCCACCACTGTCACCATCCTCATCCAAAATCCACTCAGCCTGGTAACTGGATGTTCCTTTGGGGACCTTCTTTACCATCTTAGAACTTGCCTTCAATAAGTCTGTAAAAGCCCAAATAAGCTAAGTAAATTATACACTTCCTTTCCCCAGTTACTCAGGGTATTCTCACCTAGGCAAGAAGGTTTTCCCCGTTATCTGAAATAAGAGTGCTCCTATGAAATCTTTTGGAAACCAAAATGGCATAAAGTAAGGAAGCAATTACCATTAATTTATATGGGAAAAAATTTTATGCTTTCCCAGACCCAAAAAATAACCTACCAAATAACACATAAAACCTATAGTTACACAAATATAGTAAAATTACTAACACTAATATATAGTAAAAGCAAGAATAATATGATAAATACACAGCCTACATAAAATAGAAATAACGCATGGACAGTGTAGTTCCTGGGGAAGGAGCTTGGTGACACCCTCTCGCTGCTCAGTGTGGGCACTGCCTTTTTTAGCAGCAAAACAAGTGCTGATTCCAGCCACACAATAGACAGCATATAAGGTGAACATTTTCATCAGATACGTACACTCCTTAACACGATCAATCGTGGGAGAACAGAAGGGCAGTGTTTGCACTGGGAGACAGCTCAGAGGGCAAGGATGCATAGGAAAGAACACAGGGAAAATAACTATGGGGAGAAAATGGGCAGAAAGCTGTTACATTATGAGGATTGCATCAATGTCATGAAACAAAATGTATACGAACTGCTGTATGGAAAATGAATTTGCTCTATAAACTTTCACCCAAATTACAATAAAAAAAAAAAAAAACCTCTGATTGCTAGTTTCTTTTTGCCTTTTTTTCATAAAAATGAAACCATCTTTCAGTTAGCGAAATAGGTACTAGTGTAGGTCTTAACATAAAAGAGAATGGCATAAAGCAAACTTTCAAAAAGTGGGGCATACTTGAATTGCTGTGAACGTCAAAATCTCTAGCAAACACTGAGTAGAAAAAGGCTATTTCCAAATCTAATTCAGCACTACTTATACAGTTAAATAAACCTTGGGACGACTCCAAAATTGCTTATCTGTTCATTATAAAACAAGAACAGAAGCAATTTTGATAAACAGAGCAAAACTGTTTAATGTGTGATGCGACATACAGCATTTGAGTGATAGGAGAAGATAGACCTCTTGGAGGTCTTGGAGGTAGATCTTCATCCTACTCTAAGCTGCTGTGCTTCATCCTACTCTAAGCTAAGGGTTCCTGTGAGCAGCTAGACAAAATCCACAATTCCAGGCTGGATGAATCACAAGTTTACCAATACCAACCATTTGCCTCACTCAGCTCCTCCTCAGTGGGCCAGGTCTGTTCCCCCTCCATTGGATCTGGAATAGCCTCTGATTGCAAAGATTCCTGCCTATCAGGGTCTGCTTTCATTAGGACCTTAAGGTCTTCCTCCATATCAACGACAGCATTTGCAGCACAGATCTGAAAACCAAAAGCAACTGATGGTGGGCCAAACATTAACCAAAAAGCTACTAAATTTAATACAGTAACCAAAAAGTTCTAAATTAAATGAAGTGCTCAAGAGGAAAATAGAATAATGGAAGAGAAAGCCACAATTTGTCCAAATGTTTCAAACGGCTCTTTCCTAGTCTTTTAAATCTACTCAAAAGCTTGGCTTTTGGAGCCTTTCACAATGTGGCTGTACACCTACCCAACCAAGTCACTCCCATCAAGCTGATCTCTTCAGAGCTCAAAGAAACCCTCTGATCCATAAATGTGCCAACGTTCATGTTACTCCCATCTTCTAGAATATTCTTTCATCTCATAAATCATCCATCCTATTCATCATCTGGCTCCCATCTAATCTCTATGAAGTTTGCTAGTCTTACTTTCTCAATTTCCACAGCAGATCTGTACCTTAGCCACATAACTATCTCAATCTTGGTTTCAGGGGTGTGCCACTTTTTGGGGAAGTGACTATAACACATGTCTTCTATAAACTCAGAGCCAATTCAAGTGCAGGGCACCTAGAAAGTGCTGAATAAATAGCTGACTGACCCAACATTTTTTTTAAGATAACTATTGCTTTACTACCAACTAGGAACAGCCTTCATTGGCCTTAAATGTACAGCCTACCTTCTCTGAATTTAGCTCCCATACTGTACCAGCTCATGTACAAATGAATCTACAACACATAGTTTTTAAGATCAATCTTACCTCCATTGCCATGCCTGGGTCCTTTTGGGATTTAATCGCTCTAGGATTTAAAGGAAAAGGGTCCATGGGGGCATCTATCTGTTTCATCTGGAAATCACCATGTCCAATGATGTGCAGCAAGCTATTTACATTTAGAGTTTGCCCACGAACATAACCTGAGACTTTCAAAGTGCCAACCAAGTTATTCTCCTCGCTAGGTACAAAGTCAGCAGCATGGGCAAAGAGGTAGGCCCGCCGATCTCGGAAGGCAAGATGCCGTTGCTTTTGGTTAGCCAACTGCCTGAGTAGCATCCCTGCCTCCTGTTGTGTGTCTAACAGGAGGAGTTTGTCATTAGGAAAGCGCTTCTCCACTGCTTTACTCAGCTTCTTTCTGGCATCTATTTGTTTCTTCAGTGGAAGGTCAGAAACTCCCTGGACAGCTAGTGCTGTGAGCAAAAGAAAAAGAACTCGGTGATACACCGCACTTCACTGTGTGAAAAATCCCAGTGCAGTTCCCAAACAGTTCAGATGTGAACCAAGAGATCACTGGGAAACCCAACAATCAACTATTCTCAACAGCTCATTCCACAATGCACCAAACTTTCCTTCTTCCTCTGGGCAAAGCTCAGCTTAAATATAAAAAGGAATGTTGGCCGATAATGTGTAAATAATGGACCAAGGTTAAGCCATATATGTACAATCTGTCACCAGCTGTAATCGGGGTAATTCTTGTACCAAGTGCCGCGCAGAATCCTGGAATATTATGGGTGCTTAATAAATGCTAATCCACATCTTTCCATGGCCCCCAATACTCCTAACTCACTATAGGTGGGAAGTCCTTGAGCAAAGAGGCAGGAAAGGCAGTAATCTCCAGTGCTGTCCCAGCCTTCTAGTGAATCAAGGAGGAACAGGATGGTATCAGCCACTTTAGCCATGTCTAATACAGTGTGCAGATCCCCTGTACACAGAAGAAAAAGTAAGTTATTGGCACCACATGATGCTAAAAAAAAAAAAAAAAACTACATCACAATGACAGTAAATGTCCTAACCTGGCTTTGCAGATGTAAAAAACCAGCGATGTTTCATCTGTGGGCATAGCAGCATAAAACTGTGAGTGCCTCCCCACTCAGTCTGGTGTACTGTTCCAATGTCCCCATCCTGAAGCAGACGAAAGGCTTCTGGCAGGGAAATCCTGTTGTGCAGGGGCACCACCAGTACATGATGGGGAGGGCCATCTTTGCTGCCCAGTTGTCTCTTCTCTGCCAAAACCTAGGGATCAAAAGGATTAGAGAGCCTCAGTGTATTAGTATTTCGTCCTACTATTGCATTTCCAACAGTACCGATACTCTCCCTGACCAGAACCGCTCTGGTAAAAAAGAAGGGTGGCAGGAGCTCGGATCAAAGCAAAGGATGCCCCGGAGCAACTCTAGATCTTCACACCCGACATGTGCTGTAAGGTTATTCTCCGTCCCGGTCCCTTCCCAGGGTAGTTTTCTAGCCTCGTTCGAGGCGTTACTCGCCTAGAACAGTTGTGAAGCCACCCCATTCCCCAACTCCCACTCTACTCACCGCGTCTTTCTTCTGTTTCCGGAGCTGCCTGGCACGATGCCTCCGGTCTACTAGGCTGAGCTCTTTTCTCACCTTCTTGCTTAAAGTTTTCACTGCTAGACGGCCTAAAGGGCAAATCAGAAAGTGTTTTTGTGCTCGGCACCAAAAAAAGGTCAAGAAAGGGGACCCGTCTCCTCCCCCCAAGAAAGGAACTTTCACATGGCCGCAGATATCTTAGTTGGGCCTGGGGAAAAGCAGTTAATATCGGCTAAACAGCTGTTCTTCCTCCTACCCCATCTTCTCACCCTTGCCGTCTCGCTGCGCGGATCCCCGACCCCGATGCCGGCCCCCCTTATGTGCTTTATTCTGCTGCTTGAGCGGGCCGGAGCGGTGAGCCGCCATGCCGTCTCTCACGTGTAAGAAGTCAGCACTACTTCCGGGCCGGACCAAGCATTTCCGGTCCCCACCATGGGGGCGGGTTCTCCTCTCAGCCTTCGTGTGCGCTCTGCTGGCGTTTCTGCCTGACTGCTGTGTTAAGCTTTCCCACGCGGCAGTCTGCAGTTGGGGCCTTAAAAACGCCGGATATAGACATTTGTGGTCCGGGTTCGCGGTCGAGGAGAGGGGTTTTACTCTGCTGTATTTTCTTCTTTTTTGCATTGTAAAGTTACATCGCGTAGGAAGATGTTGAATAGGGAGTCCGTGCCGTGGAGGCTTTAGCCCCTCCTAGAACCTAGATTTGTGCACGTGGCTTCTCAGTTTGCAGCAGCAGGTGTTCTTTGTCACTTTGAGCAGCCTTCTTCCCCTCAAATCCCTTGCAAGCTGCTGAAGTTTCCAAGCCGAATCGTATAGAAGACGCATCTCACCTTATTTAACCGGCTAACTACAAGCTCTAACTAAACTGCTATCCAACTCGTGCCCACACATCCCACATACCCTCAGGAAGGCCCAGACCGCACGTGACGACCCTGAGGGAGGGGAGAGGACTAGCTGTGATGCTCGTCCCCTTAGTGCCGGCCGAGCCCCTTCTGGCCAGAGGCGGCTGCGTTCCCATTCCTCTTCCCACAAGCTTTACAACTTAGGAGTTCTAGGCCAAGGGGACTAACGCTAGCCTCGCTGTGCCTAGACCTCTCCCGCAGAGGCCCAATGCGCGGGCCCCAGCCCTCACAACGCCCGTGCTGTCTTCTTTCTGGTCGGGAGAACTAGAGGGTAGAAGTCAGGGGCATCTAGCTGGGTTGAATCCAGCCCCGCCGCGGGCGACTTTTTCAACCATGGGCCGGCGGGGACCCGGACCCGCCCCGACACCCCACCCGGAGCTCTAGCTCCTAGCTAGCGACCGGCCCTCACAATGCGGATTCGCGCCCTCGGGGCGGGAGCGGGCGCGTTGCCATGACAGCGGCCCGCGTGGCGCGCTTCCGGGCCCGCCACCCTAGGAGCGCACCGCCTCCCTCCGTCCGGGGCCCCCTCTTTGCTGAGCGCCCCACCTCCGGCTGTGGGAAGGGGCCGGGCCAGCCTCCTGACGTCTGTGCGGGGCTCGGAAGATGGCTGCGGAGCCGAGCACCGGGCAGTGGTTGCGGCGGCGGCGGAGGGCGGGGAGCGCGGTGGGCAGGGGCTCCGCCTTGCGCGTGGGGCGCTGAGCTGAGAAGCGCGGAGGCGGCGATCGTGCACAGGGGACTTGGAGGGTCGCTCGGCGCCGCCTCCTGGCCACCCGCCGCACCATGGGCAGCGCGGAGAACGCAGTCAAAGAGAAACTGCTGTGGAACGTGAAAAAGGAGGTAAAGTCGGGGCAAAGACCCCGGGGGTCTCGCGGCCCGCCGGCGCAGCCCTGGGGGGTGGGAAGGTCTGCACCCACCCCGAGCGCCCGCACTCGCGGGTCTTGGCCTGAACCGGACGGGGGCGGGGTCCTGGACAGGCTGAAGCTCCCGCCCCCCTTCCGAATTGGGGGGCAGCGCCCCTCAACCCCGAGAGCCAGGCCAGAGCTTGTTTGCTCCGTGATCCCGCAGCTCCCCGCCCTCTGACGGCAGCAGCGCCGGGAGACCGAGGTCGGGGGAGGGGTGGCGGTGATTTCTGGAGAACTGCCCTTTCATTACCCGCGCCGCCGGGGGAAGGGGCGGGGTCCTGCTCGGGTTTCCTGAGGTGTCAAGCCGGTGACTTAGGGGCTTAGGTCTCTGTTTCCTAATACCCACCTCCTGTATCCCGCTGGGAACTGAGTCGTTGCTGCTGGAGGGTTCGCTGCACACCTCGCTGCTTCTCCCTCCACGCCCACCTCCTTACCCAGGGACCAGGTTTTTTTTTTAAGAATGGTTTTCAGGACTGTTTTTTTCCCCTTTGGAAAAAGGCCTCGACGTCAGAAAAAGTGCTTTCCTCTACTAACCCCTTTTACCTTGCCCTAGCCCAAAAGCTCATTTCATGCGAGGGGAGGTTGCCCATGTGAATGACTCACCCTTGTATGAGAGCTGGAGAGCTCAAACACACAGAGTTCATTAGAATGGATTAGGCCTCTGGAGCCGTGAGCTCTTTCCACCACTTGTCTCCTTGGCCATACTCTGCCAGATGTATAAAGTCAATGTTTTGTCCACTATGCATCCACACAGTAGGCATTCAGTGACTATTTGGTAAGTAAATCTGCTGATCTTGGAGACTGCAAAACATGGTGGAAAAGTGTACATTTTGGAATAGGCTAGACCTAGCACTTTGTGATCGTCAGTAAATTACTTAACCTCTCTTGAGTGTCTGGTGTAGTGCCTAAGGCATTTGACTGCTAACCAGAAGCCTGGTGGTTCAAACCCACCAGCCGCTCCTCGCTCCTCTCCTCCTCGGAAGGAAGGTTGGGCAATCTACTTTGTAGTGATAATGCCTGGGAAACCCAAGGAGGGGTCACTATGAGTTGGATCTGACTCCACTGCTGTGGTTGTGTTGTGTTTGAAGTAGGAAAATGTTACCTACTGAGTGACATTTTAAAAATAAAAGTTTACCATATTGGTTCCTTTACTCCTTCCTAGAAGTGTTGGGTAAGACTGGGTTCCAGCAAAATCCTGTAAATCTTCAGCTAGTTAGTCCTGCTTCAACCATGGCCTGACCGCTCCACCATTGCATTTGTTCCCTTTCCTCTCTCTAGCAAGGAAGTGGATGAATCCTTCACCTGTCCAGCTGTGTGTGAGAAGCTCCATGGTGAAGGGTTTCTTAGGCCAGGGGTATAAGCCCCAACTTTTAAACCTTGACTTTGCCCTCCCTAAGGGAAAGAAAAATCTTGGTGCTAGTCCTCGTGAAGCAAGCAGTTTAGTGTCAGAGACTTTTAGAAACAAGAACAAAAAAGTAGCTGTCACTGTACAAGATACAGCCAGATGTGCTGGGATTGTGATGTGATCCAAATGGTCTATGCTACTATAAGAATGATTCCTAAACAATGTGAGAAGTATGCAGAATACACCGCAACTATGTGTCTTACCAGGGAGGCCTTGTGGCACGGTAGTTAAGTGCTTGGCTGCTAACTGCAGTGTTGGCAGTTTGAACCCCAGTCATTCCATTGGTGAAAGATGTGGTGGTCTGCTTCCATAAAGATTTACAGACTTGGATTTGTTCTGTAAACTTTCACCCAAATTACAATACAATTTTTTAAAAAAACATATAGCCTTGCAAACCCAAGGGCAGCTCGACTCTGTCCTATTGGGTCACTATGAGTTGGAATTGACTTCGTGGCAATGAGTTTGGCTTTTGGTTTTGGATGTATCTTCCCTGACAAAGGTTGACCTGCTCTGAACTCAGTGTATTTCCCTTCCACCTTCAGCACTTAAAAGAACTGATCTTCAGAGAAACATATCCTTTCTTCTCCTACAAGTGGGACAGGGCTGCATTTCACAGAGTACCTTGTATAAATCAAGGTACTGTCTTAAGTCCTCCTAACCTAAAAACTGGCCCACTAGACTGCTTCAGATGCCTGCTGGCCTTTGAGTTGTAACATAGTGCTCTGTTTAATGCAAGCACCCCTTGGGAAGTGATTTAGGAAGCTTTTAACAGTTTAGAGGGCATAAGTCAATTTGATCCCCTTTTACCTGACTGCTAGCCATGAGCGGTTTTCAGCAGGAAGAAGATCCAGGTTCTTCCTCTTTCCTCCCAGGCTCTACGGCCTCTTCTACCCTCCAAACTGTAGGGTCGTGGGCAAGGGCCTTGGGAGCTGTGGTAAAATCAGAACACTGGATGTCATGTCAGAAGAATAGCAAAGACTAGCTCTGCCCTAGAGCTTATTTTATCTGTAAGATTTTGTGCTGGGGTTCAAGTAATCAATACCTCTAATCTCCAATGTCTCCTGGTATCTCTGCCTCAGGTTCCCCCAGCACATCAAAAGTGCTTGGCTTAAGTGTTGGGAGCAACTAGAACCTCATACACTCCTGATAGGAGTGTAAATTGGTACAACCACTTTGGAGGGCAAGTTGACAATAACTAGTAGAGCTGAATATATGCATGCCCCATGACCCAGAAACTCCATGCGTGCAAGTATAATCAAAAGAAATGCATACCTATGTTCACCAAAAGACACGTCCAGAACGTTCATACCCACTGCTCTTCATAACAGCCCCAAACTGGAAACTACTCAAGTGCCCATCAGTTGTGCTATAGTCACACAATAGAATAATGCAATGAGCACAAACAATCTGCAGTTATCCACAATAACACGAGGAAATCTCACGATGACATAGGTGATCGACAGAAACCACTCACAAACCCTACACACTCTGTGATTCCAACTATAAAAAGTACAAAAACTGATGAGACAAATCTGTGGTGTTGGCAGTCAGGATAGTGGGTACCCTGGAGGGGGGCATGTGACAATGTGGGAGGGAAGCTTTGGGGTGCAGGTCATGTGCTGCGTTTGACCTGGAGGCTGGTTTCACAGGTGTCGTTAGTGTGTGAAAATACATCAAGCTGTACAACTATGATCTATGCCCTTTCGGGGCAATTCTGCTCTGTCCTATGGGGTTGTTATGAGTCTGAATTGACTCAGTGGCAATGGAGGTTTTTTCATGCCATTTGTAAATGTTTACTCTGCATCAATAAAGTTTGGTTTTTTTAAATGCTTAAAGGAAAAAGGGGTGACTGCTCACCTCACAAGGTATTTGGAAACTTTTACATCCAGATAAGAACCTGAAACATCAGAGTTTTAGAATCTAGATTAAAAGTCTAGGCTTGTTAGCATGTGGAAAGTGTTCCTAAGGCCTGGATAGATCTATCCCCTAATCTCACAGAAGGCAAAGCAAAGGAGGGCCAGATTATTAATCTACAGGCTGTACTGAAACAGTGTGGACAATGTGTCCTTAAAGAACAATATGTCTGCCCAGAAGCCCTTCTCCAGCTGAGTCCAGATAACCAGACAGCATCCTGTCCTTTTTCTCTGTGGCGTGGCACTTCCTCCTGAGCTGGAACTCGTGTACCAATCAGCTGGCAGGTTTTTGGCATCTCTTCTCTTGGTTGCCTCTCCAAAAGGCTTGGAGCAGTCTGCACTGAAGAAACTTTGCTTCCCCACTTCCCCATCCCTATCATTTCCTCTGCATGTCTGAAACCAGACGAGGAGCGCAGAGCCAAGCTATTTACTTGCACAGAGGCCGTTGCCCGGGAAAAAATAGATATGCATGCGCTAACCATACTGCCCGTTTGTCCACAGGTAAAGCAAATCATGGAGGAGGCTGTGACCAGGAAGTTTGTGCATGAGGACAGCAGCCACATCATTGCTCTGTGTGGTGAGTGAGTGACCGGGAGGCTCGGGATAGTGGGGGGTGAGACTGGGTGTAGAACTGAAAACACTGCCCTGCAGCCAGGGAAAGAGCAGTCCTGAGGTTTGGTAGTTCTCAGATCTGGCTGCAAGTCAGAGTCAGCTCAGGAACTTTTGAAATCTCCTTGAGTTCCCTCCCAGATCTACTGAATTGAGATCTCCAGACCCAAGAATCTATAACCATGTATGTGTGTAGGTGTATATATATGTATATTTTAACAGTTGTAAAAATATATGTAACACAACATTTGCCAATTCATTGTTTTAGGTGTACAGTTTAACGATAGCAATTGCGTTAACCATGTTGTGCAACCACCACCCGTAATGAGTCTGTATATTTTTAGTTCCCTAGCATAGCCATAAGGAGCTCTGAGGGTGCTGTGGTTAAAGCATTAGGCTGCTATCCAAAAGGTCAGCAGTTTGAACCCACCAGCTGCTCCCCAGGAGAAAGATGAGGCAGTCTGCCTCCATAAAGATTTATAGCCTTGGAAACCCTGTGGAGCAGTTCTACTCTGTCCTATAGGGTCACTATGAGTCGGAATCGACTCAGTAGCAGTGGGTTGGGGACAGTAATTCTCAGATTTTAGTGTGCATGAGAATCACCTTAAGGGCTTGTTAAACGGATTCCTGGGCTCCCACTCCAGACTTTCTGATCCACTTGGTCTGGAGTCAAGCCTAAGAATTTGAATTTCTAGCAGATTCCCAGGTGAGTCTGATGCTGCTAGTCTGAGGACCACTGCTCTGGGTCATTTGGGTTTGGGAACCACTGCTTTGGTTTATCCTTATTTTAATTTGGGGGGAGGAGTTGTGCTTTAGGGATGCTTTCAGTACCATATCTACTTTCTGATTAATCCCACGTCTGTTGCCTCATCATCCTAACTCCCCAAGCACTTGATAGGATGCAAATGAACATGAATGTAGGCTCAGAGCGTCCTCTTCAGCATGAAGACTTTACTTTTGTAGTTTTCTTAGATTTGGGGGTACTTCGTCTTCTTCTCAGCTCTCTTTCTGAGGGGACAAGGAGCCATTTACCGTCTGTATGCTGTTTTCCTTGGCTTTTGAGATCAGTATTTGGGGTTTTGGGAAAAGGAGGTTGTGCATTTCTGAGGGGAAGGAAGACAAGAAGTAGATAGAGACAGGACTCTTTGACAATGTGGTGAGACAGATAGCTGCTCTTCCCATCAGTCCATCGACAATTACTCACAGAGGGTCTACCGGATATTATTCTAAGTGTAGGGACATTGCAGTGACAAGATCAACAAAGTCTCTACCTCTGGAGGTTTCCATTCTGTTGGGAGATACAGACAGAAACCAAATATACAAATAAATATGTAGCATGGTGACAGGTACTGTGCATCAGAGTAACTATAAGGGCTTGTTAAAACACAGATGGCTGGGCCCCCACTCCAGACCTTCTGATTCTAGTCAGAAAGCATAGAGGTGGTGGAATGGTGACTGGGGCAGAGCTGGCATGTAAGCAGAGCCCAAGTGCCAGACTTGGGATTGAATCCTGGTGCTCTGCCTGCTTCTTGAGTCATCGTGGACAAGGTTCTTAACTTCTCTCACTTTCTTTGCTCCTCTAAGAATAGGGAGATGATTCTCACCTCAGAGTTTGTGTGGGGATTGAGATGAGTGTTCCTAGCATTGTAAGAGCTCAAAAGAATGTGTCTTTCCAGAAAATAATAAATGCTGGTAAGGATGTGGAGAGATTGGGACTCTCATACACTGCTGGTGGGACTGTAAAATGGTACAGCCACTGTGGAAAGCAGTATGACAATTCCTTAAAGAGTTGGACTTAGAAATACCATTTGACCCAGCCATTCCATTATTAGGTATATATCCTAAAGAAGTGAGAGCCATGACAAGAACAGACATGCACACCCATGTTCATTGCAGCACTATTTACAATAGCCAAAAGATGGAAACAACTTAGGTCTCTATCAGCTGAGGAATGGATAACCAAACTATGGTATATACACACAATGGAATACTATGCAACCCTAAAGAATAACAGAATCTGCAGATCACCACATAACATGGATGAACTTAGAGGACATTATGCTGACTGAAATAAATCAATCACAGAAGCACAAATATTATATTAGTCCGTTATTGTAAAAGTCAAGGAAAGGTTTACCTATGGAATGAAATTTTCTTTGTTGGTTACCAGGTGTGTGGGGAGGGGAGGGAATATTGTTAGATAGGTAGAGATTAGTATTGATTTGGGTGAAGAGAAGGGCAGTGTACCAAATATGAGTGATCAACATGGTGGCATTGAGGAAGAGGAAACATAGAGAAGTACATGGGAGGTACATACAACAAAGATGAACCCTTTAGCACATACAGTGCTGCATTGTCAGTGAAGGCAAACATGGGTATACGGGTGGATAGGTGGATAGGTGGGCGGACAGGCTGAACTATTAGGTATGTCTGTGAATCGGGGAGTGTACCCAAGAACATGTATAGGGTTGGTAGACAATGATACTATAAGTGTATTTGTATGATCTATAAGAATTCCCAGGTGTATAGTAGAGCTGACAAGGGACAAGGTTGTAGTGACTTCTTGTTCACAACCAGCTACCCAGAGGGACCGAGTAGTTGAACCAGTGGGCTTGGACGATAGTTGCAGGAGACATCAAGCTCAATTGGCATAACATGCTACACAAAACATTTTTCCACCTCCTACTTTGGTGAGTAGCCACTGGGATCTTAAAAGCTTGCAACCAGCCATCTAGATGCAACAATGGGTCTCTCCTCATCCAGAGCAAAGAAGAATGAAGAAAACCAAAGACTGATGAAAACAATTCGTCCTAGCGACTGGTATACCATGCGATCTGCAGCCTACGTGACTATGAGACCAGAAGAACTAGGTGGTGCCCAGCTACCACTGTCAACCTCTCGGAGGGGGATCTATGTAGGAGATCCTGGATAGAGAGGGAGAACAATGTGGAACAAAACTCAAAGTCATTTGGGAAACAAAAAAAAAGGGGGGGGGCACCAGGTTTGCTGGTCTGATAGAACCTGGTGGAACCACTGAGACTATGGCCCCTAGCTGCCGGTGAGGTCTGGAATTGAATCCACACCTGTGGCTTCCAGCCAAACAAAAGATAGGCATATGGGTTGAACATTTACCTGAGGTAGATACACTCCTTGGAAAGAACAATCATGGGAGAAAGAAGGGCTGTTTATGCACAGGGAGACAGCTCAGGGGGCAGGGGTGCATGGAGAGATGGACACAGGGAAGAGAAAACTATTGGGAGGAAGTGGTAGGGGAGCTGTTGCATTGTGGTAAATTGTAGTCAATGTTGTGAGACAAAGTGTATGTGAACTGCTGTATAGAAAGTGAATTTGCTCTGTAAATTTTCACCCAGATCACAGTAATGAAAAAAAAAGAAGTGAGAAGCAGAAAGGAAAAAAAAATAAAATAAAGATCGCCTCAGGTGTACATGGGAAAAAACAAAAAAGTGGTAATGAGTTTTAAACAAGGATTCCCAACCAATTTATTTCCTAAATCAAGGTGGCGTTTGACTTAATTCTTTACAATCCTGTCCCATCTATAATCCTCTCTTCTAAAGTAAATCATTTTTAAACAAATGTGTCTTTCCTGCTTCTTTGGATATTGAAGCTGAAGATAGGTTTGCAGGATGCTTTCACCATCTCCCTTTTAGGTGAGCTCTCCTGTTCTTTGAGATGATGTACTGATTCCCCGGTTTATGAGCAGTAAGTAGTCTGACCACACCTTTTCTTGGGCGGAGCCTATTAGGGTAAAAAGTATGCCAGTCTTACAATAAGTGGCTTAGAACTTTGTTCCTTTCCACCTGTGCTATGTTATCCCGATTTTGGCCAGTGCCTGTCATTGTCATCAGAAGGGCTCTGTTGGCAGCCTAACTGTGCACAGCTTAGTGCTTTGTCTGGCAGTCACACTGGTCTGGATTCATACACACCAAACACAGAAAATGGAATAAAATAGTGCACACAGCTTGTGCATGGGCGCCACGTGTGGGTTGCTATGGGGGAGTGAGGAAAAAAGGGCTGGGAGAAGAGAGGCAGGTAGAAAAGCTGTGGGTGTCCAGTATTCAGGCCAGTTAGGGGGAGAAAAAGCTGTCACCTCTCCTCTGAGCAGCCTGGGACCCCCAGGAAGCAGTGGGGCTTTTGCATCAGTCTCCTGCCTGGAAGCTCAGGGCTCTTTCAAGCAGGCAAAGTGATCACACTCAAATGTTTTTTTCTGCTTTTAGCCAGATTCAGTTGCTGCAACAAAACAAGGACCCTCAAGTCTCCAGGGTTCTAAACTCAGCCTCGAAGCAAAAGGAGGCTTGCTTATAAGGGGACTGTGGCCTCCATTTCTGTTGGTTCCTGGGAGATGCTTTAGGTCCATGAGTCCAAACTGAAATGCCTGCAGTGTCAGCCACAGGGGAAACTGGCTTAGATGTGAGCAACAGGGAGTGGTGGGGTCTGTGGTGAACAAATGGTGGTTACCCTGTACACTGTATACCCTGTCAGCTCCTGCAGGAACACAGGCCCAGGCTTGCCTTGACCTGTTTACTTTTTACTTACTCTTAACTTTTAATCGTGAGTTGGGTGGGTACTTACAGAGCAAATTCATTTTCTGTTAGACAGTTCATACATATTTTTGTTTCTTGACATTGATTGCAGTCCACACAGTGTAACAGTTTGCTTTCCACTTCCTCCCTATGGTTACCTTTTCTTTGTGTCCTTCTTGCCTATCTGTTCCTGCTTGGAGCTGTCTCCCTGTACAAATGCTGCCTTTCTGATTTCCTGTGGTTGACTCTTCTAAGGAGTGTACCTCCCAGGTGTAACTGTTCACCTTGTAGGCCTGTTGTCTAGCTGAAAGTTAAGCCATGGAAGTGAGTTCAATTCCAGGCCCAGAGGGTGACTAGGGACCATAGTCTTTTGGAGGTTTTACCAGGCTCTATCAGACCAGTAAGCCTTTTTTTTTTTTTTTTTTTT